ACTTCATGAAGAAATGTTCGAATATTTCCGTTCCCAGCACACAATTTACTTGCCCCATATAGGGCTATTGAACAAAAGAAAACCGCAGGTCTCTAGCTATTATCGTTATGGAGATGTTCGACCAACATTTACTGTCTCTTTTAATTTAAAATGGATAGTAGTTATTTAATACATGTAAATGCTTCCTGGCAATAAAAGATCCAAGCTCTTTTATTATGCCCAAACAGACAAACTCTCCAGAAGTGGATCTTCTACTATGGCTTATTTATGTTCATAACTTTTAATAACAAGAGCTTTCCAAAAGACCAAATCGCTTTTTGGGGATTTGAGTGTGAGTATTGATGTCGCTATGTTGTTGCAAAAATTTATTCTTAAGTTCATCGAAGGATAGCTGTTCTAGACTTTACAAAGTTTGAGAAAACACTAATCAATGAGAGTCAGCTTTCGCTAATTTAAGGTGATGATGACAGCCGTAGTAAAAAACATATCTTGGTTTCCTTCAGTTCAACGAGATCACGAAGGTGAGATCCTTTCTTTGATATTACAAAGCCTTTTTTACTGCTTAGTAGAAAAACAACGATCTATCAAATGCAAAGAAATGGCCATGATTACTGCCGCTCGACATCCCCGAATGAAACCAATATTTCACTTCGAGCAGTTCAATACATTGCGTTTTAAGCTTTTTTTGTGTAAATATGATCGATGAACAAATCCTAGGATGATTAACGTTCGAAGTTCAAAGTTAGTGTGAATGTATCGAGATTCTCATATGCATAAACGACGTATAGCATTAATATAAGGCATGCGATGAATTGAAAGCGCATAATAATCGAATGCACTAGTTTAGTGAGAGAAAAAAGTATATTAGGAATGCTAAAGTTATGTAAAATAGCATTCTGATAAAAAATGATACATGTGAACTCATAGTATCCAGAGAACTCGAAGAGAGAATCAAGAAGAAAAATCAAATATGTATCAAAAATATAAAAAGAACATAAAAAGGAGTGTTTCACATATCTTGGACATTCTTATAGACATAAGAGATACGTTGAAGTAAATATTTCACATGTTGGTATAGTAATGTCAAATAGGACCAATCAGGTCCGCTCTTCAGTCTACTAATGACAGCACTGATATTTGTATAAAACATTTTTTTTAATTTGTTTTCAAGATATTTTTTGGACATTGTCGTATAGTTGAGTTGAAAGTTTGTTTTCTGATGATTCTGCAACATATCCTGTGGATTTTGGTTTTATTGCGGCAAGATGTTCAAGGAAAATTTAGTTTGTATTATACAGATCGAGGGAGTACAGGTAATATGTATTTTGATTGCTTATATTATGAAGTGTCTGACCTCGATATCCAGCGTCCAACAAAGACACAAAATTTCAAAACTAATTATCAAGTCATTCCGTATTGCATACGTCCATGGTCAGAAAATGAAGCTTACCATGAAATAAATGAAGGAAATGTTTTATCTCGATTGACATTTGAAGAATTACGAACAAAACAGGTGACTATACGAGACTTGCTGTTATGGTCAGCTCCCCTTGATCTTATTGAACGTTATGATGAATATCTTGATTCACCATTGCATAAGTCATCGAGACTTGATATGTTCTACAATTGTTCGTCATTATGGTTTGGAACATATTGTCAATATACATTTAATTTAAATTATTCATTTAATAAAATCGTCAACAACACATTTCGTACAAAAAATCGATTGACAATATCGAATATGACATGTTATATACATTTAAAATGTAATCGAGGATCAACAGATGTGTGTCTTGATTGGCGTGAAATTTGTGATAGAAAAGTCGATTGTATAGGAAACGATGTCGATGAAATCGGCTGTTTCGAACTTGAACTGAATGAATGCAAAGAAAACGAGTTTCGTTGTCATAATGGAATATGTATACCAGAAGAATTCATGGGTGAAGGTTCAAACTATCCTGATTGTTTGGATGGAACCGATGAAGACAATCGCCAGATTTATCATGATATAGAGCAGTATTCGAATTACATCTGTATAGGACAGCCTGGATTTTGGTGCGAAGAAACAGACTATGCTAAACGCCCTCGTTTTTTTGTATGTGGTGATGGAGAACGTAGTGATTTAGACATATTTTACAATTATACTTACATTTTACCGACTATACAGGTGTGTTTGAATTTCAGAGATGTACGCATTAGGGAATCTTTATATGCATATGTTGAAGATTCTGATTTATCATATGAATGCTGGTTTTTTCTCCAATGTTCTGCAGATTACAACCTTGAATTAGATTGTAATAAATTATGTGATTACAATGACGAGTACGCTTGTTATATTAATATTACAAACATATGTCAAACGAGTTTTGTTATTTTTCCCCAACGACCTCTTCTTCAAGGACATGTATTTTTTGTCTATTTAACAAACAAAACTATCTATTATGTCGTAGATAATCCATCGATGTTTCCTGATTATGTTTGCTATGATGTAAGAAAATGTCCTTTTCTTCCGTCTATTTCAATTTTAAATATAAATGGTACAACTTGTCGAACAACAGAAGAGCTAGGTCTTCGTCAATTTCTTGATATTATTAATCTTTTTCAAGGTTGCTTGATTGTCATTGAAAATGAACTTAAAACAAATTATTCCCAATCGTCATCGTTATTTCAATGTTCAGGTACAACGAAATACATTTCGAAACATCGAGTTCTCGATGGTGTTCATGATTGTTATAAAGGTGCTGACGAAATAGGTATCGATACATGTCAATGGAATCATAAACACCGTTTTAAATGTTCGTTCGAAAATAAATGTATATCAGACGTTCAAGTCCGAAATGCTATAAAAGATTGTCTTGGAGGTGAGGATGAAATCTTATATAGTTCTCAACGCCTATTATATCAAAAATTATGTAACGGATTTGTACATATGTCATCTGTCCTTATCGATGGAATGAATGAAACAGATGAAACACATTGTGATTATTGGCCGTGTAATAATTTATATACTCGATGTGATGGAGCATGGAATTGTTTAAATGGAGCTGATGAATTAAATTGTGTGTTAACAAATTGTCCTGGAGATACTCATGAATGTGTCTCACCGATAACAAAGAAAATCATGTGTCTACCTATTCATCAAGCTGGAAATGGAATTGTCGATTGTCTTGGATCTACAGATGAAAGAACATATTGTCGATTAAAACATCCGAAGAATTATGGATCGAGATATAAGTGTTGGAATGAATCATTATGCATTCCCACTAAGCATTATTGCCTCGACGATATATGTCAACACGACAACTTCGATACCTGCTCAAAAGATGTAGACGATATTATCTATCGTCTAGATCAAGATAAAAAACTTCAATTTCCTGAGTATGAACATTTTATGCTTGAACGTCCACAGACGAATATGTCTTCATTAATCATGAAGAGAAATTTTCTCTTGAATCCCAGTCAATCAATGTCTGATTTGGAAACATTTTTTGAGCAATCAAATTCGTTAAATAAGTTGATTACAAATCAAGAAAATACGATATTAAACAAACAATTCGGTATTGATCGAATTGATACATGTAAACGTGGGATTGGGATTTATGTTGGAATTCCAATGACAATGCATTGTCTTTGTCCTCCAAGTTATTATGGAGATCAATGTCAATTTCAAAGTCAACGTGTTAGTTTAATACTTAAGTTTTCTCGGATGTGCGAGGCGAATTGTCAAGGAGTATTTGGTATTATTATTACTTTGATCGATCAAGATAAGATCATTCATGATTATGAACAAATAACATATACGACTACATATCAATGTGAACATAAATTTTTTATTTATCTTCTTTATAAATCACGACCAAAAGATATGACAAAAACTTATAATATTCAAATCGATGCTTACAACAAAATAAATATGTCTTATCATGCTAGTTGGATATTGCCAGTTAAATTTCTTTTCCTTCCCGTAAATAAAATATCTGCTCATCTAACGATTCCTGTTGATGCAGTTTCTTTTGTTAATAATTGTCCAATATTTTGTGGTCATGGCCAATGTTTAACATATGTTAATAATCGAAGTCAATATTTTTGTCATTGTAATTCTGGTTGGTCTGGTGTTAATTGTACAATATCATATAAATGTGATTGTTCATTAGATTCGATATGTCTTGATCACATGAATAATCGGTCAATCTGTCTCTGTTCACTTAGAAAATATGGACAACGTTGTCGACTTCCATCTATCTGTCAAAAAGAACTTTGTAAAAATAATGGTCTATGTATTCCTGATGATCAACGTATATCAATAAATTCTTTTCAATGTTTATGTCCATCGAAATTTGCAGGTCAAACTTGTGAAATATTCGAATCAACAATACATATATCATTTCATCAAATTGAAATTCCTCGTTCTCTTCTCGTTCATTTTATTACTTTACAAACAAGAGCTGATCCACTGGCTACAACAATATCTATGAAAATTCCATATGATCAAGATATAGCAATGATTCACACATCGATACTATTTCATATAATCATTGTTCAAATTTCCAATGAATATTTTCTTGTGCACGTCAAAATGAATTATGATTCTTCATTGATAACTAAAATTGAAATTAATCTAGAACAACGATGTCCACATATTCAAGAATTATTTCATAATAAAACAATATTATCATATCCCTTGTTAGGTCGTGTTAAATATTATCATTTACTTTGTAAAAATCTATCTCAATTAAAATGGTTTCATGATAATGAACAATTTATATGTTTATGCAATGATGAACAATACGCAAATTGTTTTTTATTTGACTTCAAACCAACGTATACTTGTAAAGGGCTGGGCGATTGCCAAAATGATGGTCAATGTTTTACAGATAGTTCAAATTGTTTGCGTTCAATATTTTGTGTTTGTAAAGATTGTTTTTATGGAAGTAAATGTCAATTTACTACAAAAGGTTTTGGACTTTCACTTGATGCCATATTTGGTTATCAAATTCGACCAAATTTACCAATTAATCGTCAACCAATTATTGTAATAATTAGTATTGCTTTAACTACGATTATATTAGTCATTGGTCTTATCAATAGTTCTTTTTCAATAATGACATTTCAAAGAAAACAATCAAATGAATCAGGTTGTAGATATTATCTCTTAACTACATCAATCGTTTCATTATGTACAACAATTATATTTTCAATTAAATTCTTGATGTTAATTCTTTCACAAATATCGTTTATAAAAAATGAAATGATTCTACAAATATCTTGTATATCAACTGATTTTTTACTTCGATTATGTCCAATAATTGTCGATTGCCTCAATGCAAGTGTTGCCATTGATAGAGCACTAACAGTAATAATGAGTACGAAATTTAATAAGAACAAAAGTAAACGAGCAGTTCGATGGGTTATTATTGGTATTTTTTTAGTTAATGTTCTTAGTATTCTACATGATCCATTAAATCGTCAACTAATTTATGATGAAGCAGAACAAAGACGATGGTGTTTAGTTCAATATTCATCTTCACTTGAAATATATAATTCAATAATAATTATAATTCATTTTTTTATTCCATTTTTGATAAATATTCTTACATCAATAATTATTATTGTTTTTGCTGCTCGAAAAAGTTTTAAAGCTCGAAAACAAGAAACTTATCTAGATCATTTAAAAAAACAATTTCGTTTACACAAACATTTACTTATCAGTTCAATATTTTTAGTTTTACTTGCTACACCTCGTTTGATAATTTCATTCACAGCTGGTTGTATGAAATCGATTCGAAATCCATCATTTTATCTTGCTAGTTACTTTATTTCATTTATTCCACCATCTCTTACATTCATCGTATTCGTTATACCTTCAAGTTCATACAAAAAAGAATTTTATATTGCAATTAATAGATTTCGAATGCATGTTCTACGAACATTTCATATTGTTTAATCTATATTGCTTTTCTATACTTATTATGTTAAAAAGAAAGCTGTCAGTGATGAGGAGAACGCTTTCTTTAATGTTTCTTTGCTTTATATATTTCTTCATTTGAAATTAAAAAATAAAATTTATCCAATAAAAATATGAAATACTTGTCATTGATATACAATTTTTTCGTAACAAGAATATTATAGATGACATATTTGTAATAAATAGTTGTTAATTAATTTTTGAAAAAAAAGTCAAAAATCATCATCAAGAAATGTAACATATAAAAAAAATCTCAATATAATTTGACAAACAAATTAAAATATTTACATAACTAATTTCGAGTCAAACTCAAAAATATTAATAGCTAATTCTTATGTCATTTTAAAAGATCAAATTAAGATTAGAAATAAATTGCTTGGACTAGAAATCTGAACGAAGACTTGAATATCAGGCAGAAATTTTATCCATGACTTATTGTTTTGTTTTTATTGGATCTATGAAAGCAAAGTTGAAAACAATCAAAATAAATCTTTAGAAACTTTATAAATATTAAACAATAAGCTTACTAAAAATTAACACCATTGCTATGTAAAAGTATTAAATGAAACAGATTCTATGCTGAAATCATTCGAAATAGTATTTCAAAAAAGAATTTTATCGAAATAAGGAGAGATTTGTGACTCTATAATGTTCGATGTCTATTATTTTTTATTAATGAATGTATATGTAAAATTAGTTTTATCTCAAATATGAAAAACATACAAAACAATATGAATGATGAAAAATTGAAATATTTTCAATTTTAAGTTATTTTTTATTTTTTTAAAATATTGCAACTTCGAACATTAAGTTTTTACATTGAAAAAACCTCTATTTGTGATTGCATACAGTTGAGAGGAGTTCTATAATTCAACATGTAATAATATATGACAGAAAGAATTATTCATCTACTATAATCAATTATCATTTGAAATTGAAAACAGTGTTAATAACGGTTTGAAAGAACACAAACTAATATAGTTATAATAGTGCAACCATTGAAAAATCTTGACAAAGTTTCTATAAGAAAAAACAATAATATGAAGCATATAAACTAATAATTCTTTGGGTTTTTATCACTTTTAGACATTTCGAATCGTAACTATGGTACCCGTAATTTTTCTAATAGACATACAATATGAAACATAAATGTAGATCAATATAGTTTCTGATACTCTACAAAATTATATATCGATCATATTCATCAATTAGATTAAGCAAAGTCAGACAGATACAATTATCATATCACGTAGACGAATTTTCATAATTTCGTATGTAACAAGCAAATTGATGCTAAAAATCTTTACGCCCCAAAAATTGCGGCGTCTCACAATCAATGTCAGTATTATTCGTTTTCCTATTGAATCATAAGCTAATATCAACTTGAGATTTTTATAGGATAAATCGATGTCGTTCTTCTCACCAAGGTTTTTCTCAAATATCCCTTGTAGTCTCTTCGGAGTTCATCCGTCGTAAAAAATTATTTTTCCTGAAATCTATATGATATAAAATATTCATTTTACTCTGCAGTTGATATTAGACTCAGATTCAATAGAAAAATGATCAACATTAAGTTTTATAATATTCTCGAAATGATTATTTTGCTGACGACTTTTCAATGAGAATGAATCTTCAAATAGTTAAATACAAGAGTATAAAAATTGATGTAAGAATTATATCAATCTCTGTTGATCTACACTACTAATTTACATATTGAGTTTATAATAGAAACAATATAGTTATCATAGTTATTGTTCAAAAAGTCTCAAAATGATAGACTTCCTAAGATTATTTAGTCCTGAATTTTTTTTTCTTCTATGCATTCAATAAGACAAAAGTTAAATCTACAGAAATATTCGATATATCATGGTCTATTTTTCTATTCTAATCAAAGTAAGATCTAAAGAGGTAGCAGATTTACGATCTTATTCTTTATTAATATCTGAAATAATATTTCCATAGTAGAATAGCAATAAGTCAAAACAAAATAATTTATAATTAATATGTAACTTTTTATTACGGAAAAGATTGCGATACAATCTTATGATCAATCACGACATTTTTTATCACATTTTATTCTCCTTTTTTTTTATATTCATATTACATACATACACAAAAAAAAAATATTCGTTCTTCATCATAAAATACACAGAGGAAGTACAAGCGCATGTATCAGTTCAAACTGAAGGCTGTATAAAAGTCATGCTTGATTGATCTGCATTACCTTCTTTATACACTTTTCTTTCTTTTTACTTGTTCGCATCTTAATACAACATCAACAAGTTTTTTTTTTTTTTTTTTCATTCACACTATTTATTTATTCATGATAGAATAAAAAATGGCTAATAGTAGTTCAAATAAATTACCAGTATCTGGAACTGTTATCTATGATTCTGGTAACGATACACCAACTACAAGGAAACGAGCTGGTAATAATAATTGACTTTAATAATAATATTTTTATTTTTATTTTGTTTTAGTAATACCAACTGGTGGAGTAAGTGTAGCGGAACGTGCACGTTTATTTGGTTCACAAATAACAAATTCATCAACAATTAAAAATTCTAAATTATCAAATCAACATGAACAACGCCTACCACCACCACATAATAATAGATCAACAAAATCAAATGTTGTTCATTATGATCGAAACTATCAATCAACTAAAACAAATGTTGATCGACGTCCACAACAAGATACATCTTAGTATAAATAATTTTGTTTTTTTTTTGTTCAAATAATAATCAGCAAAAAAAAAACCTCTTTTCTTTGTGTTTTTTTTTTCAATTAGTTCTACTTCACAAAGAATACTGAATAATCGTCAACAACCTGTTCAAATTAATGGTAGAAAACAACATGAACAATCATCATCACATGATTCACGTCATTATTCATCAGTTTCACGATCACACGGTCATCATCAACATTTATCACCATCAAATCGTCGACCATTGACTACTCATGATAAACATCGATATGACATTCCACCAAAACAACGACATAATAGAATAAGTCCAACTCAAATAATAATATCCGGTGAATCATATATACTTGATGATAAGGCTTATGATGATCCTTATCTTGATTTATATAATAAACAAAATAAAACATCAGATTATCAACAACAATCTAATAATATTCCTTATCAATCATCAAATTATTTTCAGCCAATAAAAGATCCATTAGAAGAAATGTTTGTGAATTCAACACAAGGATATTTTTCTGAACAAATACCTATGAAAAATTATATTAATACGAATAGTATACAACCATTTGAACTAGGAAATTTAATTCATCGTATTCAACAAGATTATATGGATAATGTACGACCATATGTATCAAGTATAGAATATATTGAAACGAATCAAAATTTTGCTGATATTGGTTATATAACACCAACTACTTCTCGAAGAGGTTTATTTTGTTATTTTTTTTGTTATTCATTAGTTTTTCTTTAAATTGATTTATGATTTATTGAAGATTATACAAGACGAACTAATGATCTCTATCGTCAAAAAGTACCATCAAGTCATTATGATATTATTGATATGAATGATTCTAATCCATATATAAGAAAACCTTCACAATATCGACATAATGATAATCAACATTCATCAATACCAAGAAAATATCGAAGACGATATCATGATCAAGCATCATCTCCTATTCGTATGAAAAACACGAAAAAAAAAATCAATAAAATTTTTTAATTAGTTTTATAATTTAGATACTGTAGAAACTTCGAACAAAATTAATAAACAACATAAAACCGAACGTAAGTAAATCATTAAGTAAAACTTGGAAATTATTTATTTTATGAATTCTAATGAGAGAATATATTCAACTGTTGAATGTTGTTTGACTTTATGTTATGTTTATGAGTAGGTCTCTGTAGGACCTAAAACAATCTTAAAAGAATTCGAATTCATAGCTTGTTGATAAAGAGTGCGATGATTGTTTTAATAAAATTATTCTTGTAAACAAAACATTTTCCAAAAAGTCAAAGCAAAGAGTTTCGATTATTATGTTCTACTATTGTAAACCACTGCTTTTTTGAATATCGAATATTTCGAGAGAGGGACGATGTAGATGCCAGAGATGTCCATCGCGGCGCGACCACTACCGCTACCGCCACCGCGCCGCTGTGGTGGTAGCAGTTTTTTTTTTCAAATAACCATCGCGGTGCGGCGCGGCAGCGGCCGTTTTTTTAACTAACTATCGCGGCAGCGGCGCGGTAGCGGTAGGTTTTTTTGGAGAACGATGCAAAAATGCATGAATTCGAACAGAATTTCAATGTTTGCAAGTGCAAAACTATGAGATTCAACGAATCTTATCGATTGGTAACAACAGCTTTAGTCCTGAACAGTCACAGATCGTAAAATTCACAACATTATTCTAACAATCATCGCGGCAGCGTCGCGGTAGGTTTTCTGTTTTTATCACCGAGGTGCGGTAGCGGTGCGTTAGCTTTTTTCTTTTATCGTCGCGGCGCGGCAGCGGTCAGTTTTCAACCGCGATGGACATTTCTGATAGATGCTGGTTTGAATCCTATGAGTAATGATTTAAGTTTTAATTTATGGCATATCTTAGTACATCTTTCATAAACAGATAAATTAAGAATTTTTATATGAATATTGTTCAGTTTCACCTGCTGCTGTTGTTCCAAAAGCATCTACACAAAAAACGACAAGTTCAGGTGAAGAAGAAGAATCAACAACAAAAAAAGAAAAACCAACAGAATCAGAAACTTCATCTGAATCATCATCAGAATCGGAAGATGAATCTGAAAAAAATACATCAAAACAACCGTCTTCTCAACCTGTTAATGGAACAGTTTCTAACTCAATTACAACTGGAACTTCAGCAGCACAACGTAATGACATCACTCGTCCAACATTACCAAATCAAACTGCATCTAATGCAGCTCAAATTCAAGCAAATAAATATGAGGTTGAAGCAAGTACATCCGATGAAACTGA